CTTTCCAACAACATGTTGGGACGTCCAAAAGAAAGAAACAAAGTGGAGGGTGAGAGATAGTATGGTTTGCTATAGTTTGAACCATATGGTCATGCAAGAATGAATACTTTTCAAAGACACTAAAATTGATAAGTAGATATTATTTGTTCTAATTCAAGCACGATCCTACCATTGGATGACAAGAAGATAAAGGTAGGTGAATTTTTCTTTTATGGACTAGATTGAGAAACCAAGAGAATGCAATAAGTGGTTTCAAAAGGATACAAGAAAGCTGAATTAAGAAGGCTAGTCTTGAATTGAGTTGCATTGGCTATGCTAATTGGTAAGGTTGCTAATTTGCCAATAAACCAGGCTTAGCGACCCTATTTAGTAAGGTTTTTTTGGGTAAATGGGTAGAAGTACCCTTCTACTCCACTAATAAAATAATTTTTGCTAATAAAAAAAAAGTCTTTGTAATTTTTTTTATATAAGAATGCAAACTTAATTTGTCAATTTTTAATTAAGGTAGTAAATTTTCAACTTTTTTTATTTAAAGATGCCAACTTTGCCTTTTTCCATTTAAGGTTTTTAACTTTACATTTTTTCTATTTAAGAATAATAAGTTTACATTTTTTCTATTTAAGAATAATAAGTTTACATTTGTCATGTCAGCATCACCATCTAATTAATTCTTATATAGAAAAAAAAAAAGTTAGCATCGTTAAATATAAAAAGTTTAAAGTTGACTGCCTTAATTAGAAATTGGCAAAGTATTGATTTTTAAATAAAAAAAGTTACAAAGTTGACATCTTTATTTGCACCTTTTTCTCTCCATATCTAGAAAAAGCAATGACTTAGTGACTATGACAGATAAGGATGAACCAACAAAAGCATAGCTAAGTTGGTAACCATGAACTTAAAAATCTTAATTTGAGGTTAAAGCCAAATATTCAAACCTTTATGATACCAAGCAACTAACTTTCTGATGTACCAAAAAATGATAGATAAGGATGAAATAAATTAATTGTATTGTACTAGAATGACTTTCTATCATTTATGTCTCTCTTTTAACTAATGCATTACTGTCTTCTCAATTACTTGAACTTAGAAAACACATCTTCTCTTTTCTAAACCTAAACAACTTAGCTAAATTTTTTACTAAGATAGGTAAGAATGAACCAACAAGTGTTGCATGTGCAATATAGTTAAATAAGAATCCATACCTATGTGTTACACATGCATTGCATGTGCATTGATATACCTTTTTGAAATATGGGTCAAACTAAGCAATCTAAACGCCTATATTTTACAATCAAATTTTGGATTAGAAAAAAGATCTTTAAACAGACCATTTAAATTTTCTTGTTAATAATTGAGAAATCCTTAAACTTACTTACATTGACTGTTGATGATTGCAAAAGAAATCATCAAAAGAATATACGTAGGGAGCATTGAGGGAAAGAGTAAGTTTAAATAGATAGCACTTAACTCATTTTTTGAACGAAAAAAAAAGAATTAGTAAATTAATATTACCTTTTATCTCTTAATTTTCATTCAAGAGCTTTTGAATATTTAGACTTGTAGCCTTTCATATTAACCAAATAAATGCAATTGTTGAAGAACTTGTGTTTTTTTTTGTTGCACTTGACTCTTTTTTTTTTGTTAAGTTAGTAAATTGATGTTACAATTTCATGTATCACTTTCATTCATCATTTATTATTATCATTTTCAATTTTTTTGTTAATAAGTTAGTAAATTAATGTTGCTTCTCCATCTAACTATGTGAAATAAATGTAAACAGTGACTCATTGGGTGTGATGGCATCACTTATGAATTGTTTAGTGGGGAGTATTTTGTTCAAATACTTATGGGTACTTGTAGGAGCAAACCCAAACAGAATTCCTACTTGGTGCCCAGTGATTGATTATGTGAGGAGGAGATTGGATGGTTGAGGGGTAGTTGCATTATCTTTTGGTGGTAAAATTGTCCTTCTAAATGTCATTTTATCTTGTTTACCTATATACTTTTTCTCAATATACTAAGCCCTAGAAAAGGTAATTAACCTACTCGATCACTAGACTTCAATGTAACTTCTTATTGGGTGGAGGGGAGGGTAAGGGGAAGATTGCATAGACAAAATGGGAGGTGGTATGCAAGAAAAAATCAAAGGGAGGGTTAGGAGTTAGGAACCTTTGAGTGTTTCAATCAAGTTTTGTTAGAAAAGTGCAAGTGGAAGATTTTGAAGGGGAGAAAAGCATTGTGGAGAAGAGTTGTTTATGAGCTTTATGGATTGGTTAGGGAGAGCAGATAGGGAGGGTGTGTTTAGAATGAGAGGAGGGCAAGGTGGTGGAGACGACTGCGGAAATTGGAGAGGGTAGATATGTTTGTGTAAGAATGGTAGGGGATGGCAAGTAGACACTATTTTGGGAAGATCTATGGATAGCTGGGGTGAGCCTAAAGGAGAAGTTTCCAAGATTATTTTTCATAGCTACTAACAAACAAATCACAATAGTTGAAACAGGGGAGAAAGGTGAGGGAGAGGGAGACTGGTAGTGGAATTGGTGTAGGAATCTATTTGTTTGGGAATCTAATCTCTTGTAGGAATTAAAAGAGCTCTTGAGTCAAGTATAACTAAAGCAAGGGCAAGAGGATTACTTGACAAGGAAGTGGGAAAGTAAAGGAAGATATACAATGAAGTCAGCTTACAATCAAATTACTCAATCTCGGCCAAGACAGGAGGTTAATTGTTTCAACTAGATTTGGAATGGCTTGTGCCCTTAAAAGTTGCAATGCTAGTATGGAGAGCTTTGTTTGACAAATTACCCACAAAAACCAACTTGGCTAGAAAAAGAGTCATCATGGACAATAAAGAAATTATTTTTATATGCAGCTTGTGTTCAACAAATATAAAATCCTTGTCCCATCTTTTGTTTAAATGCCCTCTCTCTTGAAAGCTTTGGTTCTATTGCTTATCTTGGTGGTTTATTTCTTCAAGAGCACAAGCGGATGTCCAAAGGCATTTTAAGCAACATGTGGGGCTAGTTCATAAAAAGGAGCTCAAAGAACATTGGAAGGTAATATGGTTCACAACTATTTGGACTATATGGATTTGGACGAACCAGAAAATATTTGGGAAAGAGCAAGACAATGAAGATGAGGTATGTGAGCTCATTAAGTATAGGTCATTCTACTAGTTAAAGGCAAAATTGTTCCCACAATTGCAATAGGATTTATGGAAGGATGATCCTAAAATGGCAATAAGGAGGCAAGTTGAGTGCCAATCTCCAAATGGCGATGGGTTCTCCTTAGAATTTTGTATTGTTTTCCTAAAAAGGAATGGTAGTGTCTTTGTAAGTTAGAATGTACCCAAGCCCCAAGGTAATAAATTTTTGGCTTACCAAAAAAAATGTTGCTTTTTTGTCTATCACTTTTATTCATTATTTATTTTTATCATTTTCTCTTTTTTTTTCTCATGCACTTTCATTTTTTCTTGTTGAATTTATTGAATGTATTTAATTAATACATAGGATAGCATTTTATATAATATATAAATAAATGCAAAAACAATTTATTTAGTTTGTAAAATTAATTATATTGTAAATCAAACAAATTAGGTTAAATAGGAATAATTTTACTTTCATATATTCTTATCATATAATATTAATTATTAAAAGACTCCTTAAACCTATTAAACATCCACAAACTAATTATTTAATATCATATTTTTTCTTAAAATTATGAAAAATCAAGACATCTTAACAATTAAACTGTTATAAATCATAATAGAAAAACTTAAATATTCTTAATAAATCAATATATCAAAAAGATTTATTGAGAGTATTTTAAAAAATTTCATATACAGTTTTGAGAACCTGATTTTTACTCTCTCTTTTTTTTTATCTGTGTTTTATTATATTATTTATTTCTAATAATAATTTTTTCTTTTAAAACAAATAAATCTTAACAATTACAAACGGGTTGAGTAATACTAGTTACCCTTAAAATTAATTCGTTTACAATGAGCTTCAGCCATAACATTGCGTACCAAACATAAGAGATCTACAACTATTACTGAACCCTCTCTCAAAATCACACCATTATTAATTAATTGCACATGTCTGATCCAGAAAGTTTTGAACACAGAACGCTTTAGGAGAGAACCAGGCTGTCAATGAACTCATTGATATTCTTATCAGAGCTTCCACTTTTACCCATTGCTTCTCTCGCCAACTTCTTCCATTTTTTAGAGTTTTCTTTGACCTCCTTACTTATCTCCCCCTCCATTATTTCCCTTGTACACCGTTCAATCTCTTCCCTCCGAACAATCCCTCCCTCATCTGCTTCTGCTCTCAGTCCTATCTTCCACACATCCATAATATACCTGGCATTGGTACTCTGATCCGTCCACTGTGGCAACGCCAACATTGGAACACCGGAACTTAGTGCCTCAAGAGTCGAATTCCACCCACAATTCGTCAAAAAACACCCTACTGCATCGTCCGCTAAAACCTCCAGCTGCGGGCACCACGTCACAACTAAGCCTTTGTCCGATATCTCCTCGCTGAAACTTTCTGGGAGTTTTGTTTCTTCAGATGCTCTAACCACCCATAGGAAGTGGCTGGTACTATTTTTGAGAGCTAATGCAACTTCAGACATTTGCTCAGGTTTAAGGACAGCCATGCTTCCAAAGGAGACATAGATCACTGACCCTTTTGGGCGATGTTTGAGCCAGTTCAAGGCGTTGATGTTGGGTCTGAAGATGCTGAACCCGTAATCTTTGTCTTCTTCAATTTGCTTGTCTAGGAACGTGGATGGAATGGTTGGTCCAATGGTTCTCAATGGCCAAAGATTGCTCAAGTAGTCCGCTTCCTGTAAAGAAAATTCTTTGAAAATTTTGGATATGTATGGTTAAAATTTAAATCGCTTGTTTGGTCCACCCAAACAACTTTTGCAAACACTTTTGCAAACACTTTCGCAAACACTTTCGCTTTTGCAAAAGATATAAACTTTTCAACTGCGCACTTGCGGGATTAGCTGCGATGGAAGTGCTCTAGTCACCGGATTTCTTTGTAAA